GCTGAAGAAGTGAAATAGGAGGCGGAGGGAGAGGAGCCAGTGATGTGGAAGCTGACGGCGGCTGTGGAGGGGTGGGATTGGAGTCGGAATCGGAGCCGGTGTCAGAAGAATCGTCTGCGTATGAAGCTAGTAGCGCTTCCATGTTACTCCTTTTGGTTTGCTAATAGCCTCCCTCTCGGCCCTCACTGTCCACAGTGACTGATCAGTCTTGTCCAGACTTCCTATAACTTTCACCATTTTTAATGAGTTTAAGGCGTTTCATTTTGCTAAAAGAATAACAAAAAGTCTCATCGCGGTGGACTCCTTCTTATAGGTTTGGTCAATTTTTTTAGCTAGCCTTTGAGACTTGGAGATTAGATTAAAATTTAATTTTAATATGATATTAGATAAAGATTTGTTTTACTTGATGTTGGTGTCTTTAAAAATTAAAATTATTCACGCATCAGATGCTAAGCAATGAATGTAAGGTGGAGTGTTAGAATGACAAAAAAAGTCTCACATTGGCGATTAATGAGATGGATATACTCCTTATAAAGTTTGGACAATTCTTCTCCCTTTAAACTAGATTTTGAAACATGAATTAAGCGTAAGACCTAATTTAAACACATTATATTTCTATTATGTAAATGAATTTGGATGTTGAAGACAAGTGTGTGTTTAGTCTAAAGATAAAAAGCCCAAAATAGTCTCTCTTTATTTCGTAAAGTGTGTTTTAGTCATCGAAAAATTTAGCTAACTAGTAAAAAAAATCAATTTATTTAGCAATAATATTCATATTTTAATAATATTAGTAAACATGTCAAAAATGTCATTATTTTAAAAATAAATAATTATTTTAATTTTATTAATATTTTTTCTCTCATTATTTACATCATTTTTTTCTCTCTCATAGATTACACATTATTCTATATTTATAAAATTGGATAGATATTAATGTCATTTTAATTTTTCTCTCTTTTCTTAAGTTTATCAATTTCTCTCTCTTACTTTTTTTTCTAATCAAATCCACAGATTTTCTCTCTTTTCTTACGCTTCTTTTCAATTTCTCTCTCTAACATTCTTCCAAATAAATTCTACAGATTTTCGATTCAATATATTAATATTTTCAATTATTCTCATTTAATTTCGTTGTAAGATTTGATTTGAAGATTAACATTGATTTGAGTATTATGTTTTTCAGATTCCTTATTTATTTACTTACTGTTTTTTTTTTGGTTTTGTTTTATTGTTGTTCTTAAAATATTTTTTAGGGTTTGAGACTACATAATTCTCTCTTCAATAGACGTTTTCAAGAGAGCTACTAGAGGTATTGGACAAAATAATGAAAGTTCTTCCGATTTTTCATTATTTAATTCTTTTCACTCAAGAATTAAACAACAATATAGGTTCCGCTTCTAAATCTAAGGAGGATATACGACAGGAAAAAATGCCTGAATCTGTCGATGTGCAAAATCCCACATAAATTCATAACCATGAAGTTGAAGAAGACCAATTTGTTGGAGAAGAGGTATTCTTTTTTTGCATGTTCTGTGTGTTGCATGTTTAATTTAATTTGATTAGTAATTTTTAAGATTCAAAAAAATTCATGTTACAATGCGTTTGGAAGTGTATATGAAATTTTTATTATGTTATAGTTAGTATTTATTTTTGTATTTCATATATTTATTGTATTTTGTGTTCTTTTTTTTGTGTGTGTTAGTTATGTCAATGTAACATATTATATGAGTTTGATTGTGTATAGTTCATAGCTTTAATGTTTTTTGTATTCATAGATTTGAAAGTGTATATTAAATTTTGTTGATGTTTTAGTCCATATGTATTTTTGTATTTCATTGTTTCATTGTATTTTGTATCCATAAACTTGGAATTGTATTTCATATATTTATTTCATTTTGTATTCTATTTTTTTTTTGTGATAATTATGTCAATGTACCACAGTTAGTATTTATTTTTGTATTTCATAGTTCTATTGTTTTTTTGTATTCATAAATTTGGAAGTATATATTGATTTTTGATACTGTTTTAGTGAGTATGTATTTTTACAATTAATAGTTGTATTCATTCAAAAATTATGTTGCATTGTTTCTGAATTTGACATTTTTTCTATTTGTATTTATTCTAAAGGTATGTCAACTAGTTATGTATTTTATTTAAGAATGAGTACACTAAATATTCAATTATTTCTTTTCAATTTTATGCTTCATTCACTTTTTCATCATACTAACTTTTTGTATTTTATATAATATTATACAAAATTCTAAATAAAAACTAGAATAAATAGAAGTACAAATAAAATATATATTGAAATGAATACATAGAATATATTGTGGAATGAATATAATTTTAAAAAAGTAAAAATTCTGGAGAAAAAAGAAAGAACAAAGTTTAAATTTTATTTGAAACTGTAACCGATGAGAAAATTAAGTGATCCTTACCTTTTTTTTGAAATATTTTCTCCCTTGATTTTCTCTTTTTTGTTATTAAATAATTATATTCTGTAAATAAAAATAAATAATAAAAAACATAAATAAGATAATTAACAAACTAAAATTTGACATTTAGACTAAATATTGAAAGTGTTGCTAATGAGCCCTCTTAAATGTTAAAATATTGACATTTTGAAAAATTTCCCCTAGTCTAAATATAAAAAGCCCAAAATAGTCTCTCATATCATGTATGTGCACTTTTGATCATTTTTCAAAACTTTGCTTATAGTTGGGAAATAATATTTTTTATATTTAAGAGGACTAATTAGAAATATTTTTAATATTTAGTAAAAATGTCAATTTTAATTTGTTATTTGTCTTATTTATATTTCTATTTTAAAAATATATAATTTTTATGTAATAGATTGGAGGAATTCAGGGGAGGAATTTTTTTAAAAAAGGAACAAATGCTTAAAAGTCTCAATGTTACAATTTATCAAAATAAACAACTTTCTTCTTCTTTCATCATTGTTCTAAAAAAATTCAATATCCAATTTTCTTAATATTTTTTTATTTCTTAACACTTTTATTTACCAAGATAAATATTCAATTTTCACTAATTATTGTTATGAAAATCACGAAATTAAAGAAGTACCACATCAATAAAAAATTTAATATTCAATTTTCACTAATTATTGTTATGAAAATCACGGAATCAAAAAATTTAATATCCAATTTTTACTAATTATTGTTATGAAACTTTATGATAATACGCTATAGTTTTATCTATTAGTTTAAATTTTTTTAACTTAGAAATGTTTACACCTATTCTCATAGTGTATTTATTTTATTTTTTAGAATTTTGTATCCTTGCTTAAATCGTATTCATTCCAATATATATACCATTTTTATTTATATTCATTTTAGATCATGTTTATTTTGTATAATGAAACTTGTATCTCTTGATTAGTTTGTATTCATTCCAACATGTATGTCAAACAAATATGTAGCTATTTAAGAAACATATTTTTATTCGTATATTTCTTTCAATATTTATTTTTCTCTTCAGAATTTTGTTTCATTTCCTAAGTTGTATTCATTCTAATATGTATATTGTTTGTATTTGTACTCGTTCTAGTTTTTATATTGTATTTTTGTATAATGGTGTATAAAATATAAAATAATATGATGGAAAAGTGAGAATGAAATATAAAATTAAAGAAGAATACAAGAATATTTGTTGCAATCATTCTTAAATAAAATACATAACTAGATTTTGAATGAATACAAATATAAATAGTATACACACTAGTTTGAATACGAATTGAGAAAGGATACAAAAAATTGAAGAAAAAACTATAAAAACAAAATAAATTAATATAAAATTATTCGTTCTATAAATAAAATACATAACTAGCTGACATACCTTTGGGATGAATACAAATTAGGGGAAAATACAAGATTTATAAACTATGCAACATGAGATTTTTAATAAATACAAATATTAATAGCATACATAGTGATTTGAATATGAATTGAGAAGGAATACCAAATTATAAAAAAGAACTATAAATACAAAACAAACTAATACAAAATTGTTCTTCCTTAACTTGGTCTTCAACAAATTTTCGAAATCTTCTACACCCGATTTTTTTTCTTTTATTAATAGTGATAATAAAAGATGCAAACATCACTTTGATCGTCTCTCTTCCGTTGTTTTAACTGTCGATCCTACATTGTCCATTATTTCTTGAGTAATATATATATATTAAAAGATGAAAATTCGCTAGAAAGTTATTAATTAAGTTGCATACCTCTTGTAATCTTCTTAGGTTCGACCATAAGAGAGTGAACTTATGATTTTCAAATCCTAAACGAAAGTTGGTCGATTTAATACTCAACTACAAATAAATTTTATGAAAAATTTAAACAAAAAAATAATAATAAACAAACCTAAAAATCGGATGAAAATGCATACCTTAATTAAAGGATTGTTGTAAATATCTTTAGAGATATATTTTTCAATTTCTGAAGAATAACAGAAAAACAAAAAAGAGAAGTGAGTTAAAGATGAAGAAGAATTGGGAGAGTGAAATCAGTGAGAGAGAAAATATATATATTTTTAAAAACATATGATCGAGAATGAGTTGGAAAAAGATATAATTAAGGTGAGATAAAATAGGGTCTAAATTAGGATACACAATATTTTCTAAAATATTGATATTTTTACTAAAATTATAAAATATGAACGTTTTTAATAATTATGTCAAGATTTTTGATTACTTTGCTAATTTATCCTTAATTTTATACATGAATAACTTTTTTCTTATCAACCTATCAAACGTGGTATTAATTATATACATGAATAACTTTTTTTTATCTACCTACCAGACATCGTATTATAGATGAGTAACTTTTTTCTTATGGGCCTACTAAACATAGTATAAGTTATACGGATGGACACATGATTATTTAAACAGTTCCTTAACTTATACATAAATTAATATTTGCATCACAAATTTGTATGTATTAAAAACAAGCAAAGTGTACAGCTTTATATATGTAACACCAACAAAAACTGAAATTTTTAAGCATCTAACTAGATTTCTACAATCTCTTAACTGTATAATTAGTTACTGTTAAATTTTTTTATAAAAGTCTCATACAATCCTACTCCTTTTGAATTAGCTCTTGAGTTATGAGTTAGGCCTAAAATCTAATTTGACAGTTATAATCATAATTAGAAAAGAAAAATTACCCCGTCCTCAACTCATTCTCATCTATTGTCAAATTCAAATCCAAATTCAAACCCAAGAACAAAGTTCTTTTACTACTTTCAAGATCCAATTTGTCATGAAGTTCATCACTCTTCGAATTCAGAGCTTCTGCAAGTTCACGGCCACTCTTGATCAAACTCTCGTCCAATTTCATCTTCTTCTTCTTCTTATGCTCGAGTTGATTCAATTCATCTTGATGTTTTCTCATATGTCCTCCCAAAGCTTGTCCAGTTGCAAATTTTTTACCACAAATAGAGCATTCGTGTTTTTGTAGATTAACATGTAATAGTTCACCGTTAGTACTCATGGTCGTAAGCTTATTCTTGTGACTTGTCATGTGTCCGCCAAGTGCTTGAAATGATTCAAATCGTTTCTTGCACTTAAAGATCAGATTAGGTCGTTCTAACAACTCGTTCCTCTTCATTATATCCGCACAATTCGCCATTGCAAATTTCTCCACAGATTCTTCTTCTACTTTGCTTCTCTTCAACATCATGTTCATGGTTGTGCTAGGGTTTTAAATTACATTGTGATAAAGAGAATAGTCGTCTTACGTAAATATGGCTATATAAGTAATAGTAATACAAATATTGCAGTGAATTCAATTGTACTGAGTTATTACAACTATATATAGTGTTCGTTTTTTCTTGTAACTAACCAAGTTGAATTAGGATTTGTTTGCAAAAAACGAAATTAAAAGGGTTCGGATAATATGGAAACTGAATCCCACTAAACTAACTACTAGTAGACACCTCTGTTTTATTTCCTAATTGTAAACGGTTTTTCTTCGTTTTCAATTTAATTAGATTTTTTTTGAATGGTGTAAATTAATTTATAGGTCATTTACCTTATTTAATTTCTAGATAACTAGTTGCTTCAATGATTTCCAATAATCCATGGCATGGAAGGGTCAAGAATAGCCCAATACGAGTGCATGTGGTATATATATATATATATATTTTAATTTTCACATATTTAATTGATTAAAATATCTTTTAGAAAAATAAATTTTTTAAAAATGAGAAAAACATATTTTCTAGAAAAACAATTTACATAAAAAAATATTTTCGTCTCGATCAAACTAGATAATAATTTGAACGCAAAAGTTCAAAACCACCCTTCAACTATTTAAAATAAATTAAATTTAGGAAAAAATATTTTACGACTCAAAAGTACCCTTCTTCTCTTACCTTTGGACCAAACTTACTCTTCTATTTAAGGAAAAAGTTATGTGGCATGTAATGTGTGTATAATATGCCACATATACCTCCATATGTGCACGTCCATCCCATCCACCACCACCACATGGACGTTTTAAGAGCTCAAACTTCACCATTTTTCCACGTTTCATTATTTTATAAGAAAGGCCAAAGAAAGTTCATTTTACAAGCCCTAATTTCACCTTGAAGAATTACGCAACAACATTATTAAAAGAATAGTCAGTGCAATATTATTCGTGATCTTGTCAACTCTTGCTATTTTTTGGCAGCGTATGCCATATTGAATATTCTAACGTAACCAACATCAGCTCGTGAAGTTTCATAGTTCAAGTTTCAAGCAATCTTCCACGGTTAATGATGCTTTCATAGTTCAAACTTCAAACAACCTCCCTCATCTCTAAGTTGAACCAATAAAAACGTTTGGATGTCATTTTCCCTGTTCGTCAATCTTATTCCTTCTTATTTGTGAACACTAGTTGCCTCACTTCATGTTTTTGTTTACTTTTCTATTTTTGTTCTTGTCTTCAGATAAGTTGAAAACAAAAAATTCATTGCGCACAAATGAAGTTGATAAGGAGGCAGGGTCCAACCAAATTGCAGCCAACACTTTTTTATTTCGTAATTTAATCGCTGCAGTAAAAAATATCCGAGGTGATTATCATCTTGGAAAAAAAGGCTTTAGTAGAATTTACAAAGGTGTGATTGAGTCCATTCAAGTCGATTTTCATGAACTGTTTTTGCTTTTTACCTTTTGCTAATAATAGAATAGAATATATCCAAGAAATCAAAAATTTGATTTGCCTCTAATCTACCAAATTATTTTGCACTCACTTTACTTTAAATAATATCCATAGAGTGAAATTAGGTAGGGTGAAAGGAAGCTTCTTTTTAAGAAAAGGATGATATGTAAGAAGAAAATGGTGACTCTTAGAATGAGGTGGGTGGGGTGAGTGTGCAATGTGGAGTCTTCCATTTAACAGAAGGGTAAATCTGGTCAAATAGTAAGAGATACCTTTTGAGCCGAAAAATAATTTAAAACATAGTTTTAACCTTTTCCCTAATTTGAAAAATCCCATTTTTGATTATCGGAGGGAAAAGTAAAGAGTGCAACACAGTGAAGAAAAACCATCCAAGGCCTTACATGCTAGAGAGTAGAAACAACATGAATGAATCGGTAAACAACAAGGAGAATGTAGTTGGTAGTGGTGGCGGATTAACGGCGGAACAGAAAGCTCGAATCTCTTCAAAGTTCAGAGCAGCAAAGGCACTTCTTGCTCGCAAAAGGCCACTCCATGATTGCTCCACCACATCCCTCGATAAGTATGCGTTTCTTTATTCAATTTCAAATTGATTGTTTGTTGCTTCTTCTGTCAACCTATAAAATAGACACATTAGCTATATCTATTTTTTAGGGTTCAAATCAATTCAATTAGAAAGGGGAATTTGAAAAAAAGTTAAAAGTATTTAGTGAATTTGATGTTTGCAACAAGTGAAGTCACGCAACATTTGATATTCCTTAAGTAGAACGCGGAGGCCACAAAGAAGCTAGCCTCTGGAGAAACTATCCATTTGCACTTACCACTCTTTCAAGTTGATGATGTGGAAATGAAAACTTCATTATATGCATCCGACTTTATGTGCTAACCCGCCTAACCATGTATCTCTTCCTTCTAGGTTAGGATTACTATTTACACTTAAACCAAAACTGCATAGAATTCACAACATCTTAATTGGAAGAAAGTTCATCCTCCCTGGTAATTTGCCTGTCGACAACACTCCACTTATAAGTACGCTTGTTCAGTGATCTAAGTTCCATTTTCATTCGAAAGGCTATGGATTTGATACTGATTATTTTCCCCCTAGTCATGAATCATTCAATAGCTCCTTGATAACTCAATTCTGATGCACTAATTGCTTCTAATTTTGTATTTTGTGGTAGATGTATTGACCTTGAAAATAAAGGTATCTGCACTTTAAGTTGATCTGCAATTGTTTTCTTTTTCTTGTATGCTTATTTGTTGTTAATTACATGGTTCAAGAGTAATTTTGAAATGTTTGTTCACAATCTTTCTTCTTTGTTTAATGTTTTGATGTATCTGGTATTCTTTTCCTAGAGTTGGGAAGGCTCAGAGAACTACATCCTTGGACCGGATTGATGGTGATAAAAGGTTTCCTCTTACTGAGATTCCGACGAACACTCCGTCTCCCATCTATGAGAAGGGTTCCAATAAAACGTTCAATGTGTTTACCAGTGTTAAGGGCTCACAAGTTCGTGAATGTGGTAGCAGCATCAATGCAAGGACTACGCGTGAGATACAGTTTCAAACAGTTGAAACTTTCAAGTTCTCTAGCAATAGAAGTGAATCAGTTGAATCTAACCTAAGTGAAAACGGTGGAAGTGTTCAAGTGGAGAACATGGTTGGGTTGAATACATACATAACTCCAGTGAGGCAACCTGGATTTTCTGGCTTGACTGAGTCATCCTTCTCATCAACTGTGCTAGATGATGATTTTGATGAACACATTTTGGACGAAATAGATGCTTTATGTGAGCAAAACTCAAAAGAAAAGCCTGGGAAGAGGTTCAACAGCATTCCAATTGAAAATCATCACATAAACAACTTGGACAAGGAGGATAACTTAAATGCTGTTGTTTCTAGTGATAATTCAGGACAGGAGTGCATTTTATCAAGGGGTAATCAAGAAAGTGAAGCAGAAAGATCAAAGAGCAGCGGACCTGATAACTCAAATCTTGTCAGGTCAGATGAAGCTTTTAAACTTGAATGCATTCTGAATTCAACTGGTAATCAAGAATGTGAATTAGAGGATCCAAAAAGCTGCAAGGCCACAGATACTGGGAGCAAGTTGGAGGCAACAGATATCAGGAACATGCCTGAGGATTATATAAAGTATGTAGAGTCACTGAATGACAGACAACAGGAGGCAGCTTGTAGTGACATTTCAATCCCTCTTATCATTGTTGCTGGACCAGGAAGTGGCAAGGTCTTTACTTTCTCATGGTTTAAAAATGAAATTTGTATGTCTTCTTCAATAGTTGTTTGATTTCTTCTATTTGCATTCAGACATCTACAATGGTTGGACGAGTCCTGATGCTACTGCACAAGGTAGTGCGATGACTATAAGTGCTACTATATCATTATACTTTTGTCAATGCCATGTCTGGCACGTGACAGATCTAGTCAAGTATCTACTTCTGAGTTTTCTTCCTCTGCATTCCTTTGCTTATTGTTATAGGGTATTGGTCCGTCAAACATTCTTGCTATGACTTTTACAATAGCAGCAGCTTCTGAAATGAGGGAGAGAATCGGAAGAGTTGCAGGGAAGACAGCAGCAAAGGAGCTCACGATCAGCACATTTCACTCGTTTTCTTTGCAACTTTGCCGCATGCATGCTGAGAAGTACGTATACCTTGATTTGGTTCTTAAATATTTAAGATTTGAACACAGAAAGAAGTAATCTTTTGCTCGCTATGTCTTGTTATGTTGAAAAAATGAGTCTCATGTAGCTCAAAGACCTTCTTTTTACATGTCTTTTTAGGTTTCCTTGTTTAGCAGGCAAACATTTATGAAAAGATGTCCGAAGATAAAATCTAACTGGAAAGCTCCATACTTGAATTTTCCGAACCACAATGACTGCCACTGTTTTAGACTTACTACCATTAATTGATTGAGGAATGTCCTAATAAAAAGGAAAGCATAGGGTGATGTAGGCTACTAACGTACTTGTGTTAGTCTATCATATTTTAGATCTAGTGATTTCCGTAATCCATGTTTCTGTACGGAATTGTAGACTAGTTCAGAGCTATGCCTTTTGTTATTTTCATGGTTCAAGAGTGATTGTCCTACGGTAAGCTGTACCTCTTTTTGTAATAGCATATTTACCTGGTATACTATACTTGCCACTCAATGGACTCGTATATTGTTATAAGTGGCTCAAATCAATTTAGCCATGCTTCGTTTTGGAAAATTGATTAGACTTTCACGCTGTTCTAATAGGCATCAGAATCTAGTTTTCCATAGTTATGTGTATTACCCAATATCTTCGCACGATCGTCATCTTGATATATTTTTTCTGAAAACTGGTAATCTGTATTCCTCAACATTAAGGATATGCTAGACACCTCCATAAAGCTAATAACAAAGAGTTATAACCAAGGCTAATTTAATTATAAAGAGCCTAAGATCTACCAGTTGAACTTCATTCTCTACATTTGCTAGTTAAGACCAAAAATGAAAATTTACTATGCAATACCATTTGATCTTCTGTAGAGTATTAAACCCAGGTGCGAAGCATCTCCCATTTCTTTCCTTCCATATTGTCCACCAAATACATGAAGGAACTGCTCTCCACCATCT